GGTCCTTGTTGAGCTAGACGTCTCCCTAGAGCTACAACATGAACTCGAAGTTGAAACATATGACGGGGAAAGCTTCTTCCAAGAGGTAATCTATGAATACGTGCCTTCTTTTTGCCATAGTTGCAAGAAAATTGGACACTCCTTGAAAAAATGCCACATAAACCCGGAAGACACCAAGGGCAATAAATTCAAGAACCAAGTAACCAAACCAATCCGGGGCAAGGACAATCCAGAGGCACCTCCGGAGAAAAACCATCCCGTCACTAAGGGAGTGGAGGCAAAAGACCTGAAGGAGACGATAGCACCAATGGAGACAACCATCATTGTTTCGGAAACCTCCACCAAAGGGCATCAAACCTCTCAAGCCCCATTGGTGACAAAGCCATCCGCTTCCAAGGGGATTGACACTACTCCGGAATCCTCCTCTAATGGCCAACCAACTTCCATAAAGATCAAGGAGGGGAAAATGGACCTTGAAGTGGCTTCTAACCGGGAGAGGATTAATCTAGAGAAAGTCGAAGGCAAAAAGACACTATGTGAAAGAGAATGCGAGATTGAAGAGGACATCGAGCTCGAACCTACGAAGCAACTAAATGTGGAGGAGCCACTATTCCAATTGGTGGAAAAGAAGAACAAAAACTCGAAGCAAGGCGTAGGGCCAATCCAAGTGGGACTGTTATCATATTTGAAGATGAAAGGCATCATCCATATGAAAAAAGAGCCGGCAAAAAATATCCCATTGAAGATGGGGGCCCACCCCCCCTCCTCCAAGCAATGATTATCGCCACTTGGAACATTAGGGGCTTCAATGCGCCCCTAAACCAAGATGAGGTGGTTAGCCTCATTCGAAAGAATAATATCGATATTTTGGGACTTATTGAGACGAAGACGGATCTCCATCGTCTATCTCGTTTTGTGCACAACCATCTCCGGGGATGGTTGTTTTATGAAAATTTTGGAGTCACTAGGCACGGTCGCATTGCCATTCTTTGGAATCCGGACAAAGTGGAGGTATCGATTCAAGCCACCTTCACCCAATCCATCTCGGCCACGCTCATTAACAAGGTTAACAACTACAAGTTCTTTGTTAGCTTTGTCTATGGGCTCCATAGTAGAGGCGACCGAAAGCAACTATGGCGTGACCTTGCAAGCTCCAAGACGCAAGTGAACTTACCATGGCTACTCATGGGAGACTTTAACACGATTCTCCGGCCGGGGGAAAGAATAAATGGGGTGCCCGTCTCTAACCGGGACATCATGGACTTCGGCGATTTTTGTGACAGTCACAACATTGTGGATGCCCCTTCCACCGGCTTCTTCCACACATGGACGAATAACACCATTTGCTCCAAACTTGATCGAGCCATGGTGGAAAACATTTGGCTCCAAGAAGATCTTTATTGCCAAGCTTCCTTCCTTGCTCTGGGCATCTCCGACCACTCTCCTTGTGTTGTCTCTTTATTTGAGCACACTATGAGGAAGGGATCACCTTGGCGATTCTTTAATATATGGGCCGAGCACAAAGAATTCAAACCGAGGGTCCGACATGCTTGGAACCTACGTATCCAGGGAACGCATCAATTCAAGCTTTCCGGCCGCCTAAAAGCCTTGAAGTCCGAGCTCTCCGAGCTCAATGCCGAGTATTTTTCTCAAATCTCCCTCCGGGCCGACAACGCGAAACTAGCTCTCAAGTTAGCACAAGAAAAACTCCACGACAACCCCGATGACTTGGTGGTAAAGGCTTCCTTACCCGCTCTCCGCCTCAATTCCATTAATCTAGCCAAAGCGGAGAAGCACTTCTTACAACAAAAAGCGAAGTGCCGATTCCAAATCAAAGGAGACAAATGCACCGGGTTCTTCCACGCCCTTGTCAAAAGAAATGCCAAGAAGAATTTCATTGCCTCTATATCGAAAGAAAATGGGTATTCGACCACTTCTCTCAATGAGGTGTCCAAGGAGTTTGTCTCCCACTTCGAAAGACTCCTTGGTATCGAGACTCTGACCGATGATATTGATCCCGAGATCATTTGGCATGGCCCACTTCTCTCTCATGAGCACCATCACGCCCTCCTTGCTCCGGTTTCCGAAAACCAAATCAAAGCCGCACTTGAAGGCATCGAAAGCGGCAAAGCCCCCGGCCCGGACGGGTACACTTCAACATTTTTTCGGAAGAGTTGGGACATAGTTGGGAAGGATTTCACCTTGGCCGTGCAAGAGTTCTTTAGAAATGGGCGCCTACTCAAGCAATGGAACCATACTACCTTAGTTATGGTCCGCAAGGGCCCCCACGCATCCCAAGTATCGGATTTCTGACCGATCGCGTGTTGCAACACTACTTACAAAATTTACTCGAAAATTATTGCTCAGCGCATTAGCTCCGTTCTCGACTCAATCATTGATGGAGCTCAAGCTGCATTTGTGAGGGGTAGGAACATGTCCGATAATATTCACCTCATGCAAGAATTACTCCGACAATACATGCGAAAGAGGATCTCCCCGAGGTGCACTATCAAGATAGACCTTCGTAAGGCTTTCAATTCTATCTCTTGGGCTTTCTTGAGGCAAGTTCGTCTTGGACTTGAATTTCCAGCAACCTTTATTAATTGGATCATGGAGTGTGTCACCACGACTTCATACTCAATCTCTATAAATGGTTCGCTTTGTGGCCACTTCAAAGGTGCCAAAGGGTTGAGACAAAGAGATCCGCTCTCGCCTTACCTCTTTGTTATACGCTTGGAGTATCTCTCGAGACTCATGAACCGGAGCACGGCTAGCGGTTTGGGTTTCAACTATCACCCGAAATGTAAGTTTCTTAAAATCTCTCACCTTGCCTTTGCGGATGATTTAATGCTCCTTTCGAGGGGCGACCCATGTTCTATTAAAATCTTAATGGATTGCTTGAGGGACTTCAGAGCCAAATCGGGCTTGGAAATGAATGTCCTAAAGTCCAACATATACATGGCGGGAGTTAGCCAAATGGAGGATTCGGAGATTCTTCGGGACACTAACCTCCGGCCGGGGTCTATGCCTTTCCGGTACCTCGGTATCCCACTCACGGCTGGAAGAGTCACCGTTGGGCAATTTGATCCTCTCATAAATCAAATATCGAAATACATCAATGGATGGAACGCTCCCTCTCTCTCATATGCGGGAAGAGTGGAGTTCATTAGATCGGTCCTCCAAGGGGTGGAATGCTTTTGGTTGTCTATCTTCCCTCTTCCGTCGACCGTCCGTTCGCTTATCATCCAACGATGCCGTCGCTTCCTTTGGGGCTCAAAGATGGCGCCGGTGGCTTGGCTCATCGTCACCCTCCCATGTTCGGAGGGAGGCCTAGGCCTTCGGGACCTCAAAGCGTGGAACCAAACCTTGCTAGCACGAACACTATGGAATATTCAAGCCAAGAAAGACACCTTGTGGTACCTTTAGGTTCATCATGTTTACCTAAAGCAAAAATCCGTGTGGCAATGGACCATCCACAAGAACGATTCCCCTCTTTTCAAGAACCTCTATGACATTCGGAACATAATAGTTGAAAAGTTGGGTAGCATAGAAGCCGCCGAGGCCACTCTTAGCCCTTGGGACTCCAAGTCTCGCTCCAAGGGGCCTTCATGCGTCTACGAGTTCTTCCGACCCCAAGGCACGGCCGTCCCTTGGAAGGGTGTGGTTTGGGGGCCCGCCAATACCCCCAAACACACCTTCATTCTTTGGCTTGCTACGCTCGGGAGGCTCCGAACCAAAGATAGAATTGGCTTCCTTGATATTGACCTTACTTGTGCCTTTTGTGGGGAAGCTTCCGAGACAAAGGATCATCTTTTTTCACTTGCCCCCTTTCGGCCCAAGTGTGGCTTGCCATCCGGCATTGGCTAGAATTGAGGCGACAACTCTCCACTCTAAAGAGTGCATTGAAGTGGATTAAGAAGGAATGCCAAGGCTCCGGTTGGAGAACAAAAGCAACAAAGGTCGGGCTCGCGTCTACGGTATACTTCCTTTGGATTGCTCGAAATAGAAAGATTTTTGAAAATGAGGTGCAAACTCCGGAGCTCATTATTCGGAAGATTCAAACCCATGTCTATAGGAATATATTTGCTTTGTACCCGAATGTACTTGCCGACATGGAGAGAAAAGCCATCAGAAATGACTTTGATTAGCCTCCTTAAATAGAGCGTGGTTTGCCTCTCTTTATTTTATGTTGACTAGCAAGGGAGAGACCGGATTGTGGTCGCCCACTTTGCTCTAGTTTGCCGTGAGACGGTTGATGTAGAAACGATTTTGATTTATAAAAATTTAATTTAACGACTAAAAAAAATGCAGTAAATGTGTTGTCAGTGGAACTTTCAATCTACATTAAAATAATATTTAAAATAAAATAATTAAAATTGATTTGATGTAAAAATAAGAAGAATATGTTGTAACACGATGGTTAGTTAAATTTGTGTGAATGGATAAATAGTGAATTAAAGTTGATATGACATGTAAAAATAATTAATTGATATTACTTAACTATATTGATAATATTAAGGATAGTGAAATTAAATTAAAATCTATTTAGATTTTTAAAATATGGATTTAGTATGAATTGAGCAATTCTATATACAAACACACCCCAAAAGGAATTTAAGTGATTAAAGCAGAGTGGTAACAAACTTGAAATAAGTAGTACCACAATGACTAATTACAAATTGTGCCAACTGTTAAATATATAAACCTTACTGCTGGATATAAGTACGATTTATACTAAACTTGCAACCAATAATATAACCTCTTCATGATCAGTATCACAACATCGTTTCCTTATTTACTTATTTAAGCAAGAAAACTACTTAGTAAGCAACATTTATTACTCTCTTATTTTCTACTAAGGTGAAAGGAGATACAAAGTCGACTACAGAATCGGTTAAAAGCCACCGACTACGATGGGAACTTTTTCTTACCAGTCACAAAATAGTATGTATTTTATACATGTCTAACGCTGCTCAAAAGACGATTAGCTAGTAAAGTATTCACAGATGTCTACAGTGCCCAGAATTGCAGTCGTGCTCTTTAAGTCGCCTGAGAACATAAACAACATATCACGATTAGAAGAATCTCATGCTATCATGGAATTGCACAAGAAATGGATGACACAACACGAAACGAAGCCATATCATTAAGTTGGAAGTTATCATGTCAGCTGTACCGCAGGAAACAAGAGAACTAGCTCTCTCATATTCCTTCATATTCTTAAGCTCATAATTCATAGTACACATAAGCCGTGCATTCAATACAAATACAAAAGGTTAAATGGAACTAGATAAGAAAATTCACTAAAAGTAAAAAAACATGACTCTCATATGATTCTCATCCTAGTAAATAATATATTTGATACGCTAGGACAGAGCCCAACAGTCCGCATCTATCTTTCACCAAAAAATTGCAACCAAGCCAAAAAGATCAACTCTGAGACCCACCAAAAGTTATTAATCTTCACTCCTACTTCAATACCAATCCATAAACTAAAGCTATATCACTTCCCTTCATGAACAATGAAATAGAGAGACATTCCAACTCCTGGGAAATTCTCCTACATCTCATTTTTCTTTTTTCTTTTTCCTTCTTTTAACGCACTTCATTTTTTATTTCCACTTTTCAGGATCATATTCATACATCCAGTAACGTCTAGACTGTTCTTGAGTATACGTATAAAAACAAAATTCTGTGAACATGTTGATTTGTATTAGGATTAGAAGCATAAAGGAATATTATTAAAGGTGAAACCATGAAACTGACAATAACAAATATATCATATATCCCATGGTTATTCTTTATAAACTAACAAAAACAGGTTATGCAGGGAGAATAATTGGTTGAAATTGGATATAAGAATTTTTTCATAGTTGTCCCATATGAGAATAGAGATAATAAAGTAGAAAAAATTGTTTTGGAAGAATGTGAGATAGATTGAGATTTTGAATAGATATATATATATAAAAAAAAA